TGCCAGATCCATTTCTTTTTTAGACTGAATCCACAGAGATAGGCTGCTTCATATTTTTCTCACCTGGGGAGGGCAAGTTCTTACGGAGTGCTATATGTAGCTACTGCTACATGACAAACGCTGACAAGATCTAGTCCTTGTATGTCTCGGGGCTGCCACAGCACAGTGTCACAGACTGGGAGGGTGGACAATAAAGGCACTGCCTCATGGTTCTGGAGGCCACAGGCGCAGCATCAAAGTGTAGGCAGCTCAGTGCTCCTTGACGTCTCGAGTGGGAATCTACTTCCCTGCCTCTTCCTGGCTGGTGAGTCCCTGCAATCTTCGGGGTTCACTGACATGTAAATGGGTCACTGCATTCTCTGCCTTTGCCTGCATGTGGCCCCTGCTTTCTGTGTCTCTCTATCTCTCTGGCCTTTGCTCTTCTTGTTAGGACCTCAGTCATATTGGAGCAAGGTCCACCGCAGCTCAATCTCATGCTAATCTAACGAATAGTTTCTTCAATGACCCTATTTCCAAACCAGGTCACAGTCACAGGTATCAAAGTTTAGCACTTCAACCTGTCAGTCTGAGGGACATAATTCAGCTCAAAGCAGTCCCCGTTTATGCCCAAGAGTTAGTGACTGGCAAGCTGATGATTCAATCAGCGTTGGCTGAGGTACCAACATTCTGCCCGGGTGATTACTTGTATTCTACTTTAACTTAAGACTTTCACGTAAGACTTTGGGAATAATAAAATAATGCAGCAAATTTATCAAAACAGGCCGCTGGCTAGGCCAAATCAGGTGTATTTAATAATTAACACGTGAACATGCATTTTTCATGATCATGTGGGCTACATGGATATAGAAAGGATCTTTCCTCACAAATGTGTTACAGTCTCTGTGTGGCGCAAGTGGTTAAGGCTCTCTGCTACTAACCCAAAGGTTGAAGGGTCCAGTCCATTGAGAGACACCTCAGACAGAAGGCACCAGGTGATTCGGAAAACTCAGCCGTTGGAAACCCCATGGGGCCAAGGTTCTGCTCTAGCCCCCGTGGGTCCCTGAGTCAATAGCATTGGTGTAACATACCTCATTTGTTCACGCACGGCTGCAGGCCAGGTCTCCACTCTGCTTGCAACTTTATATTTTGCTTCTGTCCTCCAAGAGGTCTTTTTGGCTCTCTTAATATATAACTAGGGGCCTGGTATAGTGGTGGTACATTGGCCTGCTAGCTCCGAAGTTAGCGGTTCAAAACCACCAGTTGCTCTGCAGCAGAGAGATGAGGCTTTCTACCCCTGTATACAGTTGCAGTCCCAGAAACCCACTGGGCCAGTTGTGCTCTGTCCTCTAGGGTCCCCATTAGTCAAAATGTATTCATAGCAGTGAGCTTGTTTTGAGGAGATGTATAACCACAGGCACGCTCACACGCCTTCCGTGCTTTCTCGAGTCCAGATACGAGCAGGCACGTGTGAGTTTTGTTCTCCCACTTCTGAGCCACCTTCATTTTGACACTGTGTTAGCTCTGGGCAACACTGGGCGGCTGTTCTTGAGTACCCTCGGATTTGAGCGATTCGTGGTCAAGACTCTGCTCTGAAGGCATCCCTCTCTGATGGGCACAGTCAGGTCACCCTCTGTGGCCTTACTGCTTGCGTTCAAAACCTGGACTCAGTATATTGAGCTGTGTGTTGTTGGATAAGTCATTTAACCTTCTGTGTCTTCTTTCCTTAGGTAACATGAGAACAAAGAGCAAGACTGTTTTTTGGGGGGAGGTGACATTTGCTTTCTACAGCCTTTTTTCCCTTCTCTTTTTCTTTTTCTTATGAATTGGAAGTAGGTTTACAGAGCAGATCAGTTTTCCATTCAACAGCTCAGATGCATTTTGTTTCATCCTATTGATGGCGATGCCCTCACTGAAACATCTCTTCTACTTCCTCCCTGAGTAAAATGAGGTGAAGCTCATTATATGTTAGCTCTGTGCCTGGCATGGGAGGCAGTGGTTAAAGCGCTCAGCTCTTAACCAAAATGTGGGCAGTTTGGACCCACCCGCTGTTCTGCAGGAGAACAAGGGGGCAGTCTACAGTTTTAGAATCCATATGCCCTACTCTGTCCTACAGGGTAACCGTGGGTCAAAACTGATGACAATCGAAACAGGTTTCCTCTTTTTATCACTATGTACATGAATTCCACTCATGTGGAGCCATTTTCAAGGCTTGGAATGACAAAAGACCCCAGACTTTTCCTAAAATCCAGAGTCCCACAGTCTATTGCTAGCCTCATATTGATGATGGTCCTGACGTCTCCTCTGTCTTCCAAGTCAGCTTTGGATTCTGTGTCCATCTCTTCTGGGTTCCACGTCTCTACTCCCTACAGGAGGTCACTTTGACCACAATGACACTTGGAAAGCTTTGTCCCTGGTGGCTTCTTCCTCTTTCATCCTTTGCCTTCTGAAGCTATTAGAGGTTAAAGCTGGTTCCCACTGCTTGCGCCTAAAGAGAAGTTTTCCCCCCTGGCCTTAATCCAACACTTTCCCCTAGTCTTGATGCTACTGAACCAACGTTTCTGCTTTTTTCTTTTCTTTCAAACTTGAGTTTTGTTCTTGTTGGAAGATGGTATTATATTACACTGAGGAAAGGCTTTTGATGGTTTTAAATATCATTAACTCTGACTTTGAAGAGTCAGACTTGGGCAGCTACTCTGCTGTGCACTTTGCATGTTTGACATTGCACAACTCTTAGTTGTCTTGAGGTTGTTTGTTTGTTTTTAAGAAATGAACATACGTTGAATTTATATTAGTTCATGTATGAAGACCCGTTACAAAGAGCAAAGGCAGCCAGGTGCTCACACACCCCTCTGTGCCTCCTGACAGATTTGCTGTGAACTGGAGGAGTGTCAGAGCCCTCACCTGGACCTGGAGCCTTTGGAGTGTGGCTGTGACGAGATCCTGGTGTATCAGCAAGAGAACCTTTCCGTGACTTGTGACCAAGTTGTTCTCCTTGTCAAGGAAGTCGTCAACCGCAGGTGTCCAGAGATGGTCTCCAACAGCCGGACGTCCTCCACAGAGGCTGTCGCAGGCAGCGCTCCACTATCCCAGGGGTCTTCTGGGATTATGGAGTTGTATGGCTCGGACATAGAGCCACAGCCCAGCTCGGTGAATTTTATCGAACAGCCTCCGGATCTCAGTGATTCTAACCAGGCTCAGGTGGATGTGAACATAGACCTCGTTAGCCCAGATAGTGGGCTGGCCACTATTAGAAGCAGCCGTTCGTCCAAGGAGAGCTCAGTGTTCCTCAGTGATGACAGCCCAGTGGGAGAAGGTGCTGGGTCTCACCACAGCCTTCTCCCAGGATTTGAGTCCTATAGCCCTATCCCTGAAGGGGCAGTAGCTGAGGAGCATGCACGGTCAGGAGAACACGGCGAACACTTTGATATCTTCAACTTTGACCCTGCACCCATGGTTTCTGAGCAATCCCAACCATCTTCCCATTCTGCTGACTTCTCCCCAGAAGATGACTTCTTCCCCAACAGTGATTCCTCAGGAGGACAGCTCCCCACTGGGCCTAAGGGATTTGATGAGATAGAGATCCACCCGGCTAGTTATTTGTCCACAGCTGGCAAAGAGAGCCTTGTCGAATTTGATGAGAAGTTTTCCCAGAGACAAGAAAGTCCCACGGGTAACTCTGAAAGAAATGTGAATGTGACAGATTTTATGAGCGATGACTCTCCTTCACCAGAAAGGTTAAAAAATATTGGAAAGAGAATTCCACCAACACCTACGAACAGCTTTGTAGAAAGCTCACCGTCTACTGAAGAACAAGCCCCACTCGAGTCAGAAGATGGAAGGCACAATGTAGTCGACAGTGGCCACACAAAACCAGCCAAGGCCCGTGTGAGATGCAGCAGCTGGTGGGGGGGTGTTGATATTGACCCTAAAAATATGACAGATGCATGGAGTTCCAGTGAACAGGAATGTGTTTTCCAGAGCCCCGAGTCATGGAAAGGCCATAAACCAAGTCCCGCAGAAAGGAGATCCTCTGATTCTGTATTCCAGCTCCCAAATCTCGAATTCTCAAAATCAGGTACTTGGCACTCTGAATTTGGCCAACCGGGACGAGGTAACAGTGAGAATCAAGACCAAACCGAAGAGAACTTGCAGCTTCCAAACCTGCCCACTGAGAAGTCCCATTTGCCGGATGCTTCTCCTCTGAGACCAAACCACCTGATAGAAGACTTCTCTGCTTTGTGGCATTCTGAACAATCCCCAACGGCAATGCCTGAGCCGTGGGGAAACCCTGCAGATGAGAGCGAAGCCGGGGCGGTCGGGGCATTCCCTGCCTGGAGTGCCTTTGGGCAAGAAGGTGATACTAAAGCCTTGGAAAAGACCTGGAATCTGCACCCCGTGAGTGGTGAAGCCCTTGCTGTGATGAACCCGGATGAGGGGGCCATGGCAAAAAGGGGATTCTCTTTTCCTTCAGAAGACCTAGTAGACCAGGCACCTGGTGGGGAGAATAATGAAGCCGCTTCAGAAACCTGGGGCAGGAAGAACAGGCACTCCAGTTCTGGAAACCCCTGTTCGAATATGCATTGGGCATGGAGTCCATCTAAGCCACCAGAGGAAGATCAGGGCGGTTTAGTGGGCCCCAACAGCCGGGGCCAGGTGCATGAAAAGCTAGACTCTTGGAACCTTTTTGAGAACAGCGTCAAGAAAGGGAGATCAGAGATTCTAGCTCCCTGGGAAGATTCTTTCTTATACAAATGCTCTGATTACAGTGCATCCAACTTAGGTGAGGATTCTGTGGCCTCCCCCTTGGACACCAACTATTCCACCTCTGACTCTTACACATCGCCAACATTTGCTGGAGATGAAAAAGAAGCTGCAAACAAGCCATTTGATAAAGAGGAAGGCTTCGAGTTGAAAAATTCTAACTCCACCACTGAGGAGGCCCAAATGCCCCCTCAATCGCCAGAGCAGTCCCCTAGAAATCGAATTAGCTCAGGACCTGCGAATCTAGCAATGTGGGCTTCGCCACATACAGGTAACTATTCTGAGACAAACATGGCTTATAGCTCAGATCAGGATTTCCAGCAGCCCGAGCACGCAAATGATGCGAACGTCTCGGTGGAGGGTGACGTTGGGGACAGCAGCCAGTCCAGCTATGAGGACCCGAGGATGATGCAGCTGTACAATGAGACCAATCGACAACTCACACTTCTACACAGCAGCACCAACTCCCGGCAAGGGATGCCTGACAACCTGGACTTGTGGAACCGAGTCATTCTGGAGGACACTCAGTCCACTGCCACCATCTCTGATGTGGACAACGACTTGGATTGGGATGACTGCAGTGGAGGGGTGGCAGTCTCCAGTGAAGGCCAAACACAAGGATATGTGGTAGAAGGTACTGAATCAGAAACCCGATTTTCAGTGAGACAGCTAGAACCATGGGGTGTGGAGTATCCAGAAGCAAATCAGGTAGACTGGGAACTTCCTGCCTCTTCTCAACCCAACAAGGACCCTGCTGCCAATAAATATCTTACACTGAAAGAGAAAAGTGGACAGCTCGTTGCAAACAGCATTTGGGATTCTGTCATGAGAGATGACGACATGTCATCCTTAATGCTACCCAGCTCATCACGTAGTATAGATTCAGAGCAAAGCAAATCAGTTCCTGAAAGTCCTGGTTCATCAGGAAATGTTCAGGACCATCACATCCTAGATGCGCTTGATCCCTGTGAAGTCGGTCAGTCCGAATCGCTTACACCTGACCCTGACAACCAGGACGTGAGGAGGAGACCCTTGCAGGATGATGCCGCCCCCTTGGTGATCAGGCTTGAGAAGCCAGGGCATCTTCCACATTCAGACCTGTGGAAGGATCACAGCTCTGGGCAGAGTGGAAGTGTGGATGAGGTCGGTGCAGCTGCTGACCGAGAGGACCTGCAGGAGGAGGTAATAAGCTCGGAGGGGGACAGTGCCCCAGAGCGTTCTGGAGAAGGAGAAGCCGAGCAGGAACTTTCCTCTCCAGTAGCATCCGAGCATCCAGAAATCTGCATGGAGTCAAGCAAAGTCAGCTCTCCTTCGGGTACGGCCAGTCCTCAGGCCGAGGAACCAGAGGGAGACTTAGAGCAGGAGCAGGGATCTTACCATCTGGATTCCCATGATTTCCAAACAGGAATGTCTACGACTAACCTGCAGGCAAAAGATACCTGTGAAAAGTGGCCCCTGAACCACAGAAATGTGAGCGAGTCTACTGAAGATACCAGAAGGATGAGTGTAACAGAAAATGTAACTTTATCTGAAATGGATCTGGAAAAAATGGAGGAGGGGAACATTCTGGAGCCAGAGAGAAGGAATGAAGGGCCACCTCGTGGATTTCCTCAAAGCCTTGGGGATGGCCTGAAAGAGGATGATGTGCAGTTCAATTGCACAAGTGCTGAGAAGACTAAGAATCTTGAAGTGACGAGTATCAAAAGTAGCCTTCCAGAAGAGAGTTCACCCGGTCAGAATGGTAAAGGTGAATGTGCACATTCCAGTGCATCTAGCCCAGATCTGAATGATTCTTCAGCAGCACTGGTTTCCTGGAGTCACCCAGCCAGCCCTGAGCACGCTAAAGAGAATCAAGAGGACTGGAGTAGACAGAACCAGGAAGACTCCGAGGTAGTTCCCCCTGGTGGCCAAGGAGAAGTCATTACTGAGACGAGGGCCTTGGAAACAAACAGAATGGAAGGATTTGAAAAGAACTTTGAGTGCAAAGTACCTACATTTTTAGAGATTTGGAATTATTCCGTAGATGGTGATTCTTTATCCTCTTTATCCAGCCCTGAAACAGGCAGATATTCTGAATATTCAAGTGCATGTCAGGAAAGAAATCTTGTGATTAGCCATCAGGAGAATAATGAGTGTGACATTTCTGAAACTGTGCAGCCACGGGATGCCAGGCCCATCTCAACGAGCTCAGGCTCTGATGATGATTGTGCAGATGATGAAGAGTCTGTGGAGAAAGAGATCCATTTGACTACTTGCCAAGATGCTCAGAGTAGATCCAGAGCTTGGGACTCATTGGACGACTCTAATCAGTCCTTGACCACAGCTGATCTCCACATTCAAGAATGTTCTGAACATACAGGCAGTTCAGAACCAGAAGAGGATGAGAATAGGTCAAATCCACTCCACAACAATCAACAAAGTAGCCTAGATCACTGGAATTTCTCACCACCATTCGAGTCTTTGGACAAATCTAGTATGTTCTTGGGCACCCCTGATCCCACTGGTCAGAAATGCTCTGAACATACAGGCCGTTCAGAGCCAGCAGAGGATGAGAATAGGTCAAACCCATTCCACAATGACCAACAAGGCAGTCCTGGTCACTGGAATGTCTCATCACAATTAGATTCATTGAATGATTCTGATAAATTCTTAGCCCAGGCTGGTCTCGATGTATCTGAATATTCCGAATATGTAGGCAGTTCAGAACCAGGAGAGCGTGAGAATAAGTCGGACTCTTCCCAAGATGATCCACAAAGTAGCTCCAATCTCTGGGATAACTCACCACAATTAGAGTCACTGAATGAACCTGATAAACCCTTGGCCACAGCTGATCCCAATACTCAGGAAGGTTTTGAATACATAGGTGGTTCAGAACCAGCAGAGAAAGGGAGTAAGTCAAACCCACTCTGTGATGATCAAGAAGGCAACCCTGATCACAGTCCTATCTCACCACGAAAGGAGAGTGAAATGCAGACGGCAGCAGTGGCTGGGAAGAGAAAGTCTTCTACTGAAACAGTGGACATACGGGATACTCCATGGCAAACATCTCCCCAAACTGAACTATGGGCTGCAAACAACTCTGCCTTGGAAGTGCTTGGCTTCTCAGCTGAGAGTGTGGAGTGGTGGGCTGCCTCTCCACAGGAAGGCAGAGCAATTGAGCAGACATGTGAAGGGCAACTTTCAAACTCGATGGATGTGTTAGAGATGAATTCTTCAGCCTACCAACAGGTAGATCCCTGGGGAGTACCCCTTCATGATGGTGCAGAGCCCATGGGAACACCGTGCATTAACCCTTTCGAGACTAAGCATCAGTCCGCCTTTCTGGACAGTCATGGGAAGGACTCCCATGAACTACTTTGGAACATTCAGCCAAAAGAGCCCGACTCAGATGCTGATGAGTGTAACCAACTAGAAACACTGGACCAAACGAAAGAAAGCGACCCCAGAGAGCAAAGCTTCATCTCCACAGCGGGCGATGAACTCGCTTCTGAAACATATACCCAAGAGCCGTGTCAGGATCCCACAGGGCCAGACAGGGACCAGCCATACCCAACATTTACAGGTGAGAATGAATGTGTTATGTCTCACGTTGCAACGTTTGAGTGCCAAGAAACAAATTGGTGGGCAGGAGAAAAATCACCCAGCAGTGAAATGACAAATTCAAGCCTTGCCTCAGAAAATGCCCCTGTTGCCAGCGCACCTAGTCAATTGATAAATAAATCAGGCTCAGGATGGCAGGCCTCTGCCCCTAGTGAGGGCTCTCGGGGTACATTCGTTCCAGATATTTTACATGGCAATTTCCAGGAGGCTGGGCAGCTGGCCTCTGCATCCCCTGATTTGTGGATAGATGCGAAGCAGCCCTTCAGTTTGAAAGCAGATGGTGAAAATCCTGATATACTGACGCACTATGACCAGGATAGCAACTTGGAGGCTCCCAGCAGCCCTGATGTATGCCATGACCCTGAAGCAAAGCAGGAGTCTGAGCACCACCCCGACACTCGGATGGGCTCTGAAGCCGAGCCCAGGGACATATATGTCATCGAGCCAAAGGCGGATGAAGACTCTAGTCAGGAGCCTGGGCATACATGTGTCCCATATGATTCAGGACCATATTCTAAAGATGCCTGCACCCCACTGCCTGAAAGCAGCCAACTAACAAATAGGCATGGCGTGTATCCGCTTGCCTCTTGTAGAGTCTCTCTGGAACCTTCGGAAGTAAATGATGACAATAATGCAGATTTACAAGGAACAAGCTCAGATGGAGCACCAGCCTTGGAACCTTTGGGCAGAACGGTCCCAGTCACTGAAATTGTGGGAACCAATATTTTCGTGACTCACCCAGACCCCTCTCTGGATGGCAATCACCATGGGTTCCCAGAGGGCTTTGCTCCTGGAAGCCAGCGTGAGCACCCTTCAGCTACAGAGAGCCCTGCCTCAGTCCCTGGTACTCTGCTGGTCTCGGATATGTGCCTCGAGGCACCTGGCTTTGACCACAGTTGCAGTGATGCCTCTGGTCTCAACACATCCACAGGAACAACTGACGACATGAGTAAATTGACATTATCAGAAGGCAATCCCGAGACACCAGTTGATGGAGATGCAGGGAAGCACGATATCTGCTCATCGGAAGCCTCGTGGGGTGATTTTGAATATGATGTAATGGGCCCGAACATGGATGAAGACTTAATGAAAGGGCCTGATCACTTTCTCTATGATGCTGACCCTCCTTCCGAGGAAGATGTCCTGAAGGCACCAGTGACACCTTTTACACCCCCTTTTGATTTGTCCCATCTCACAGAACCTACCCCTGGTGCTCAAAAGACCGAGGAAGCTGGGCCTGCAGAACATGAGTCTCTAGGGAATGAGGTCCCAGAACTATTACTTTCTGCCCAGCTTGATCGAAGAGGCAAGGAAAACCATCCAGAGACCAACAGCAGTCAAGCTGGAGCCCAGCTGGTGGCGCTGCACATTTCTGAAGACACCGAGTCCCTTTCCTGGCCTGTGAAAGGAGGCTCTGAGGTTGACTCATCTGCACCCGATGGCGCCGACTGGGATGTGGAAACAGATGACTCTCATTCACCAGCAGGTGGAGACATGGGACCACCAAACGGTAAGAAACAGCCCTCCCTCTGAAGGCTAAGAAACTGCGGCTTTAATTAATCCACTCCCCGAGTGCGTTTGTAAGATAGTTCTTTTTATCCGTGTGTGTAGACAGATTACTTTATTTGCTTACCCGTGCGTGCTTACCTGTGTCCCAAGTGACAGTGTAACACGGAATGCATCCCGAGTAATTATCCCTGATGTGTGTGCTATTATTGTTGTTGCTTGTCAAGTCGTCTGCAACTCAGAGAGACCCCTTGTATGGAAGATTAAAGCACCACTCATTCCTGCCTCAGCCTCACAAGAGTAGTTAGGTGTGAGCTCATGGTTGCAGCCACTGGGTCAATCCATCTCCTTGGGAGTCTTCTTCTCTTCAGTGACCTCAGATTTATAAAGCGTGAGGTCTCCAGGGGCCGGTCTTTCCTGATTACATGTCCAAAGTAGATGGAGTCTTGCCATGCTTGCTTCTAAGGAGCATGCTGGCTGCACTTCTTTCAAAACAGATTTGTTTGTTCTTCTGTTACTGCAGGAGAAAATGAAACAGATCCACAAAAGAAAACTATTTCTTACAGTATCTCTTAAAATGGATCCATTTTGCATAGTTCACCAATCACAGAATGTGTTCATCCGATCTCACCCTCCCCTTCTCACCATCTTCCACTTCCAGGTGTCCATAAGGGGAGATTCGAGTTGGAAGAAGAAAAAGTAATTCTTACCAAAGATCCTGAGCAATTAAAGTCCGAATACCCAGAAGAGAGATGCACAGAGAAGAATGAAGAGCATCATGCGTTACACGTGGATTACATTCTCATAACCCACGAAGAACAATCACCTCAAAATCCAGAGGCCTGGGAGGGAAAAGAAAGTACATGTGGATTAGAAGACTCTCCCACAAACTCTGAAACTCAGTTACCAAGTGTCCCAGACATTTTTAAGTCAGCCTCTTTAAATGAAAAAAAAGACCAGTCTTCAGAAAGAGGGGTTTTCCAAGATGATCAGAGGTCTTCTCCTGGAAGTCCAGGGCAAGACCACGGTTGGATGGTCGTGGGCCACAGCGAGGTTGGTGAGCCCATGTCAGAAGGAGGTCCCAGGCAGCTGGGAGCTGGGATCGCCTGGTCTGGAAAGTCTGCAGAGGCGACAGAGTCAGTCTCAGATCCCAGTCCAAGCAAAGGCTACCAGATAGAGGTTCTAGAAGAAGTGAACCCTCTAGAGGCCTCAGTACAGGAGGAAACGTCTGCTCTGAGCAGCCAGTCGAGGAAGAGCAAGAGCGGAAGCAGGGCTGGGCCCGAGGCTGTTGTGTTGCAGGCTGTCGCCCACGACAGTGAATGGGAAATGGTTTCACCACAGCTGTCTCGGAAGACCGTGATCCCTGAATCAGAAATGGAGGAGGAAACAGAGTTCCTTGAACCAAGCAAACCACGACCAAATGGGTAAGCAAAAAGTTACATTTATGTTTTTCTGAAAATCGTTTTATTTAGGAACTGGAAAGTAACAAAAGATTATGGACTATAGCTTTGCTTGTATTTGTTGAAAAATAACGTCACCGACAAAAACAGCTTTCAGATCATCTTAATGATGATTTGTGTCCATTTACAGCCCTAAAACCCCTTTCAAGTTCTCTCCAGAATTTCATACCCAACCTTCTATCTCACTAACCCCATCTACTCATTTTACTTCCTACTCTTACAAAACAAGCTGTTGAAATAGGAGGGGGGCTACCATTTAGTCCACATCTACTATATGCAAGGCAATTAACACCCATTAACTTAGTTACTGCTAACAACCACCCTCAGATGGTAGGTATTATTATCTTCATTTTACACCCCCTGGCCGGACGGTGGGAGAGGGAAGTGAGTAAGACCTGAGACTCTGAAAAGTTCTGTAACTCATTTACAATGAATTAACAAGAGGAAACACTCTGGAGTTCAATACTTTTGAAGTATACATGTGTGTTTTCTGTTTTGTTGATTTGGTTTTTCAGACTGACACGTTTTACTAATAGGAGTTTCTAGTTTTATGAAAGGACTTAACTTTTAGGAGTGAAGTCTCTGGGTGATGCAGTTAGCACACTCCGCTGCTAACTTAAGGGTTGGAGGTTGGAGTCCACCCAGAGTACGTTGGAAGAAAGGCCTGGTGAACTCTGAAAGCCCAGCCATTAAAGGCCCTGTGGAGCACAGTTCTGCTCTGATACGCATGGCACAGCCCCGTGTTAGAATCAACTCAAGGGCAACAGGGATCACGTGCTAACAGAGTCCACCAGACCCTACAGCAAGTCTCAATCCCAGTGTGGAATACAAGAGGCTTCAGAAAGTTGAGGGCAAAAGGAATCGACAGAAAATGGGAATTTCCCATGAACTTTTTGAAGCTGCCTCAGTCATTCCCTAATGGGAAAGAACTGTCTGGAAGGGTTTGTTTGTTTGTTTTTGTGGAATACGCATGTAATCGTGGATAAGCCGAGTTTTTCAGCACATTTTAAAAATTAAATACTTTTATTGGGGGCTCTTACATGTCTTATCACAATCCATACATTCATCCAGGGTGTCAAGCACATTTGCACATAGGCCGCCATCATCATTTTCAAAGCATTCTCTTCCCACTTGAGTCCCTGATATCAGCTCCCCATTTCTTCCCCTCCCTCCTCTACCCGCCTTCCCTCACGAACCCTTGATAAGTTATAGATTACTATTTTCATGTCTTACATCATCCTCCGTCGCTCCTCACCCACTTTTCCATTGTTTTTCCCCCTGAGAGGGGGTTCTAGGTTGATCCTTGAGATCAATTTCCCTTTTCTCCTACCAGCCTCCCCTAATCCTCCTGATATCTCTACTTTCATTGTTGGTCCTGGTTGGGGGTGGGGGTTATCTATCCTGGATTCCCTGTGTTGCGGTCTCTCATCTGTAGCAGTGTGCATGTTCTGGTCTAATCTGATTTGTAAGGTAGAACTGAGGTCATGATAATGGGGGGAAGGAAGCACCAAAGAACTAGAGGAAAGTTGTGCGTTTCATCGGTACTATACTGCACCCTGACTGGCTCACCTCTTCCCTGTGACCCGTCTGTGAGGGGATGCCCAGTTGTCTACAGATGGACATTGGGTCTCCACTCCATGTACCGCCCCCCTCCAATTCATCTTGGGTATGGTTTTGTTCTGGGACTTAGATGGCTGGTACCTGATCCCATTGACACCCTCATGATCACACAGGCTGGTGTGCTTCTCCCATGTAGGCTTTGTTGCTTCTAAGCTAGATGGCCGCTTGTTTATCTTCAAGCCCTTAAGGCCCCAGACACTCTATCTTTTGATAGCTGGGCACCATCAGCTTTCTTCACCACATTTGCACATGCACCCATTTTGTCTTCAGCAATCGTGTTGGGTAGGTGAGCATCACAGAATGCCAGATTGTTAGACCAAAATGTTGTTTTGTTGAGGGAGTATTGGAGTCGAGGCCCAGTGTGCATCTGCAACCTTAATTCTTAACAGATAGATATGAGTCCATAGTTCTAGTCCCCTCTCATTATATATAAATATATTTACATATGCCTGTATTTAGACCTCTATAAATGTCCTTTACCTCCTGGTTCTTTCCTTAGCTGGATGTTTTGTAAGCTGTTACCAAAATTAGTGAGTCAACCATTCTTTCATTCATCTACGGGTTTTGAGGGCCTGCATACTGAGAACTAGATGAGTTATAATCAAGTCAGCTCTGATTCCTGGGGACCCTGTGTGTGCTCTACAGGGTGTCATTCCCTGGGCACCTCTAGGGAGATTCAGCTGTCGACCTTTCAGTTCAGAGCCAAGCACTTCACCTGCGGCTCCACCCAGGGACTCCAGTATCATTGCAGGGAACAGACAGTCATCCCTCAACCTCCAGGTTTGCTGAAACTCTTTAGAACTCTTCATTTCCTTTCGGTTATCCCGGTGAAATGCTCCCGCCTCCAGGGTCAGCCAGGCTAACTCTGAAAAGAAATGGAATTGAAGGGGTGGAGTGCACAACGTTGTTCCTCCTTAAATCCTGGCGGAGAAATGAGACCTTCGTCCTCATTTGGTGTGTATATAGCATTATGAATCAAGAAATCTGGATTCTAGCCTGACTCCTGCTAACCAGTCATACATGTCAGCCTTAAGCTCTGGCTTACATTTCCCCATCTGTAAAGTAGTGGGTAGAGCTAGAGGATTTCAAGTCTTCCCCTAATATTAAATCCGACTAACTTAGTTTGCGTGTATATAGAATTTGTCCAGAATAGCCTTGCCATTCACAACTTGCAGTTCTGGGTAAACTCGATGCCGCCGAGTCAGTGTCAACTCAGAGAGAGCCTACAGGAGAGGGTAGAACTGCACCTGTGAATTTCCAAGACTGCATCTCTTTATGGGGGTAAAAAGCCCCGTCTTTGTCCCACAGAGAGGCTGGTGGTTTCAAACGGCTGACCTTGCAGTTAGCAGCCCATCATGCTCCTCCTCCAGATAAAAAAACAGGAAAGTAACCACCCCCACACCCCCCAAAACTAGAAGAGTAGGTGTATCCTGAGCACAAGTGGAGTGACCTAAGGAATTAAATGTTCTACGGCATTTAAGTGCAGCTTCAGAAATCCAGCCGTTTTCGGTTGGCCTAATCTTTTCGTCTTCTGTCAAGCTATTTTCTTCCAGAGAGAGCCCAGCGTCTTTATCAGAAAGTGAGGAGCAGATGGATCCCAGGAGCCCTGCTGGCATTGCCACAGCTTGAGCTCCGAACTCAGGCACCCTTGAGTTGGCTGCGCTATTACTTGGCTCCTGGTCTTCATTGTACACGTGTCCCTGCAATTTAATGGATGACACCATTCAATCATGCCACTCGTACCTTTTCTTCCAAGAAAAAAAACTTTTTTGCTCAGCCCCTGCAGCCATGAAACTTTCCCCAAAATTTGGGAAGTTTTTATTGTTGCTAGATACCCTGAAGTCAGGGTGGATGCTACCTTATGTACAACAGCCCAAAGAAACCCTGCCCACGTCTGTACCATCCTCATAGCCATTGCTGCAGCCACGGTGTGCAACCATCTCTGAGAGAGTCCTCCTTTCCTTGGCCCTCTCCTTTACCCAGCACGATGCTCTTTTCCAAGGACGGGCCCTTCCTGATGGCATATCCGAAGTGCCTGAGACCAAGACTCTCCATCCTTGCTTCTAACAAACATTCTAGATGTTCTTCCTCCAAGACAGACTTGTTCATCTTGGAGGGAGGAGCCACACATTTCCTCCTGGCATTTTTCCTACTAATAATTTGTCCTGTAGCTAAGTTGTCAAATAATGTGCTCTGAATGCACTTGGAATCTTCTTTCTGTGTAAGGTTCTTGGCTGAGTTTGGGGAAGATAAAGCATTGTCTAACATAAGGGTTCTCAAAGTGAGTCCCCAGATGAGCAGCCTTAGCATCCTCGGGGCACTTGGTTGAAATACAAATGCTCAGAGACTTTGACAATGGGGCCCAGCAGTCTGTGTGCTTGTCCATTAAGGTGATTTGGAGGCATGCCGAAGTTTGAGAACCACTGCTGGGGAATAGCCCACCAGCCTTTCTAGTCATTCAAAGTTAAATTGGGGTGTTATGAAGCCAGTGGAAAAGTGGATGGAAGATGGCGTGCAGTTTCACTTAAGACCCTTAGTGACCAAGGTCCATGTATATATGCATGAACCAGGTGTACTTATGTATGAACCAGTTGTCCAGTTGATTCTGACTCCTGGCAACCCATGTTTGTTAAATCAGAACTGTGTGTTGGACTAGAACTGTGTTCCCAGTTTGCACCAACTGCTGTTTCAGCAGTAGATCATTAGACCTTTCTTTGAGGTACTCCTGGGTCGAATCAAACCTCCAATAGTTGAGTTAGCAGCCAAGTGTGCTAACTGTTTATTACTAACCTAGGGACTCCACCTTGACTACTACCACTTACTAAGTTTCATGGTACCCTCAGGCATTAAGTCACTGCATGCATTTTCCATGGATTCCTCCCAGACGGTCAGTGAGGTAGGTCATAGTCTAACCCACTACCATCAATCAAGTCATTGGTGACTGATTGTGACTGTACAGTACGGACAGAAAGAACGCCCTAGGGCTTCTGAGACTATCAATCTCTACAGGAGCAAAGAGCCTCATCTCCTGCCGAGCAGCTATTGGGTTGATCTTGTGGGTAACAGCCCAATATATAACCCACTATGCTGCCAGGGCTTGGGTGATGGTTTAATTTTTATCTCATAGATGAAGACAATGAACTTTGGAAAACTTAAATAACTTTCCCAAGGACAGAAACAGTACTCAATTCAAGGTCAGTCAGGCTACCAGGCCTCTGACTGCAGGTCACTGGGACTTTCTGGCCCAGATCCTCTATATCCAGGGCCTGGAGAAATGGAGAAGTAAAGGAACTCCAATTCAAGCTATGACGAGCTGCCCATTCTGAGTTTTTACTCAAGAAGGA